TAATTAGGAAATTTCACCAAAAATTCACCGAAGCAAAAAATAAAAATGTTTCCTTGAAAAAATCTGCGCGTCTAAATTAACTCCATTCCTATACCTCATCTTGAAAATTTAATATAAGGCAACAACACGATAAAGCAAGGAGTTTCATTATTAACGATTTAATTAAAATTCTGGTATATATTGGGTTAGCGTGGGTACGTAGTTGTCTATAGATAGATGTATTAAACCAAGCAGTTTCACTAAATGAAACTTTGAAGAGGCGTTAATAATGTTCCCCATTTACTTATTACGTTTTATGACATTCTTATTATAATAAAGAGGTTTTTTTGCCAATTATGTGGTCCTTAAGCCGCTTGACGAGCACGAGGATTATAACAACCAATATGGTGATAGGATATGAAGAAAAACACCCAAGGATGAAATGAAGGGACTGTTTGAGGAACTTTAAGACATAAAAGAAATTTCGGATGTGATGAAAGGATACTCCGATAGAAAAGAATAGAAGAAGGCATCTTTATCACACTAAGCAAGCATGGTTATTAATGCTCAAATTTTCTTCGTGTGAGAAGAGGTCTTAGGCAGTGAAGGAAAATCATCGAATGACTGCACCTACCTGGGTGAGGTTGGAGGGAGTGTCAAACTCTTACTGACTAAAAACCACCCCGTTCCTTCTCCTGCACGTCGAGCCGGAGCCCCGATAACCCGTTAGGTTCTCCGCGACATGTACGTATAGTATGGATAAAGGACTGCCAAACCGCTACTACTGATGTTTGAATTTAAAATTAAGGTATCTAATCATAATTAACTCAACTCGATAATAATTGAACTGGAAGTCACAGTTACAAATTAAGCATAAATGCATCAAAACGATAATAGTCAGGTCCGACCTTTTACCTTACTGCAAATTAGCATAACTTGAAAAACTCTGCTGAACAAACTTAATTCAATTGCAAATGTTTATCATAATCTTAACTTTCATCTCAGCTCACCGTCGCCAGTGAATTGCAGATGAGCGCGTATTTAGAAGTGGTTATAAGTAAGTGCCGAGGGATGGATCTCAGGTTTCACTACAGTATCGGTAAAAATAGATTTTCTTAAAGTCTTCAACAGTAGTTTGTGACTAAGTCCAATCTTATTTTTAGAACTATTGTTTGATTTAAAAAAATTTTTTTTTTTTCGTGAGTTTTTAAATGTCAACATTATAATAATACATGTTACAAACATACCTTACTTTTGCTCGTGAAAATAGGAAGATTTTGTTAAAAATATTACAAATGAAAAGAAAATTGCATTTTTCATCCCAAATGTGAGAAAATACGTTTTTTTTTTATAATACGACTACACTATGATTTTCTTCTTTGTCGTGGGTGCATTTACAAACATACAATTTTACATACACATGGCGCCCAACCCAACACAACAATTTGTGGATTACAACACGTTGTTCCGTACGGGAATGAAACCCGCGACACGTTGCACGGCATTCGGTTGCCCAGCCACCGCACCAACCATGCAGTCACAATATGTGTAAGTTAAGCTCAGAGCAACATGATAAGTCACTGTGAAACATCTCTGGAGTATAATAATATTGAGTGTATCTCCATCCTTTCAAGCAGACCAAAGACGTAATGTGAAGTTATTACACTCTTAACTTCTATCCGAGCTAAGTCGCTAGTGAATTGCAGATGAGAGGGGTTTATTATAAAAGGAATTCTCATGACTGTGCCGGACAGAGGAAATGTTGTAGGGACAGTTTCACTCCCAATCGAGATGAAATTTGCATTTTGCGTGCTGAAGTCCCCGCGAGCCGGCTGATTTAAATAGAGCGGTGGTGCCGTATGGTACAAGTGCAGCGGAGGTTGTGCTACATGTTTATAGTAGAATTAAATTGAATTAAATGTACATACATAAATGCACATTAATAAAAAATTTTAATATAAAACACTGATAAAATATGTCAGTTTAGTCCTTTAGTGTAACTGTTCTAACTGATGTTCGAAGTATGTTTTATAAGCACAGACAAGAAAAAATAAAATAATATTATTTCGACATAAAATATAACGCCTTTTTGTCCCCGAAGGGGTAGGCAGAGGTGCACTGTGCAATGTATCACCCACTTTTCACTATTTATGTTATGAGTCCCATGTAATAGAGGGTGAGCCTATTGCCATATACCGGGTACAATTCTAGAATCCGTGCTACCACTGTGATTTAAAAAAAACCCATTAATACTTTGCCCGACCCGGTAATCGAACCCGAGGCCCCTTGCCCGGCAGTCGCACTTGCGACCACTCGGCCAATGAGGCAGTCGGCTCTGCAATTTACCTAGTCACCACTAACCCAACAAGGACTTAAAATTCTACATCTCTAAAATATTACCGGCACAAAAAACCGCGACCCCTTATCACTCACACCGGTTATCAGCACGTAACAGCTGCTCAAGCCACCACTATCGAACCATGGAACACCTTTCTAATGCTAATAGAAATTCTCGGACGCTGCCCGACAATGTGCCTACATTCAAATACTATACCTACTACCTATACTCGCACCAGTTAGTTCCAACTTCGAATAGAGTTAAACATTACTTCGAATTTCTATACAGAATTAAACCTTGTAGAATTTCCGTATCTAGAATAGTTTTGTAAGTCTTTGTCGCATTGAATTAGAGATGTAGTTCAACATGACTAAAGACTGCCTTTGACAATATCCCTCTTGATCTCATGGGGAATGTACAAAAATGTAGCATATATAGGGCTTTAATTTTTTTTCAAAAAGCTGATAAATTGTAGTCCTGGTATAAGAACATTCTGTCTACAAATTTAATATTTATCATAACATAACATAACATCAAGCCTTTAATCCCCGAAGAGGTAGGCAGAGGTGCACATTACGGCACTTAAATGCCACTGTAGAATGTACCACTCACTTATTCACTATTTATGTTATGAGTCCCATGTAATAGTAGGTGAGCCTATTGCCATATACCGGGCACATTTCCAGACTCCGTGCTACTACTGAGATTTCGAAAAAACTCAGTAATACTTTGCTCGACCCGGGAATTGAACCCGAGACCCCTTGCCCAGCATTCGCTCTTGCGACCACTAGGCCAATGAGGCAGTTAATATTTATCGTAACAGTAAAAACATATTTGAGATCAAAAATGGCCGCTGTAAGCCCAAATGTTGATGCACGTGCCTGCACATAAGCACCTCAATTCTCAAGCCAATAACCACGAACTTTGCGTCCAAACAAACCCATCTAAATTCAAGTCCAATCTTCGAACGCATAAAATTACTCGATGTGTCCTCAAATCCCAAATATAGTTAGTTCCACGTACAATGCAATCCTTGCTCTCGCATCCGGATCTCTGGCAATATATCAACTCAGTGTGAGAGATGAAAACTATTCACACATTCGTCATAAGGATTTATGATAGAGAAGTGTTGTTCGTAAATCTTAGGAAAGTATTTTCCAGTTAGTATAGTAACGAGATATGAATTAAATTCAGGTTTACTTATTGGATGATTAGAATCTTTTGTTGTTGATTGTCATGGTATTGTTAAGCTTAATAAACCTATAATAATATTATACAGCTGAAGAGTTTGTTTTTTTGTTTGTTTGTTTGAACGCGCTAATCTCCGAAACTACTGGTCTGATTTGAAAAATTCTTTCTGTGTTGGATAGCACATTTATCGAGGTAGGCTATAGGCTATAAAATATCACGCTACGATTAATAGGCGCCGAGCAGAGCGAGTGAAACCGCGCGGAAGTAGCTAGTACTTTGATAAACCAAATTAGGTAGGTACGTGTTTCACCTCATCACACATTGATATTAAAAATACTGCACTCATGAAACGTTGCAACATTTTGAAAGAAATTGGAGCAGAGGTTTAATTGTAACGGAGGAAACCAACACCTCACTCCTCTCTGCATCTTGAGGTGGGGCCTGGCAAGGCAGGCCTCCATGAGTTCGAGGGCTGCAGAAAAATTTTGTTTGCCGCACCCTCCTACCCACGTGTGAGACGGGATACCGGGGTGGGTTATAGTTAGTACGAGTCTAATAGTCCCATTTGTACTCTCCAGGCGAGGGGGCTCCATGAGAATTTCCCACATTGGGGTCAAAATAAAAAGACGTTTCATTGTAAACCTTAACTACCGCTGGCTAGGTCAAGGTGAAAGCTACTAAATAACGCCTATCAACGCAACCATTACTACCAGATATCCCAAAACCCAAACATATCATTGTTTTAATTACAATACAACTTGATATATTCATAGCCTTATAAAACAATAGCCCACATAAATTACATGACTGCATTGCGTCAAGATAAATTTGACTAAATGATTTAAGGGTGATATATTTTGGACTTTCTTCCATCGTATTAAGGTGGTGCCAACTGCAAAGGTAAGGTTGTAAAAGCACCTTACCGCAGGTTCCTCACGTAGGCGACGGACAACGGATCCAGAATACAAAATCGCAGTTGGCAGTGTAACCAGAGATAATGACTGGCCATGGAGCTTATGGAGACAGGGAGAGACAAAAGAATTTTATACTGCAGGATTTTATTGTTATTATGTATAGAGATTGTTGGTTTTAAAAAGGATATCTTTGTGAATTAGGAAATATCTGTTAATAAATAACATGGAAAATCAAACCAAATATAGCCAAATTTATTAGCAAAATCATAAAATATTACTTGTTACTTAAGGAGAATTTTTGTAGAGAAAGTATCTCGAAAAGTTTTTTATAAAAGTAAAACTTAATTTCCTACTAACTTGTGGACATAATGTTTTGTTCTGTTACACAGATTGACACACATGAAAGAAAACATGTAAAAATTATTCAATCAATTTATTACTTACAAAACTAAATAAAAATTCCACGTGCTTATTGAAAACTATTTGCTAGATAAAATAACATTTACAAATCAGATCCATTTACGCGCCACATCAGTCAAATCAGTCAAAGAAGTCAATAAAGTCAGAGAATTATAGTCTTAAAAGACAACGTAGGTAGGTTCAGTAGCAACACCACAGATGTTGTCCCTAGCAGAGATGTACATGTAACCTCCAATACCCCATTGTGGGCCCCAGGAGTTCTTCAGGATCCAGAAGGTGTCGCCATCACGTTCGCCATAACCGACCAAGGTCACCTCGTGATTCAGGTGGAGCTGGTTGCTGCGAAAAGACATTGAGAGAGATGTTAGCTTCATTTTTAAAGACAGAAGCAATGCGTCTTTGTAGACATTGCAGACAGTATTTTAAGGATTTTTTTGAGGGAAGTAGTGACGATGAGTTGTGTGCATTTATTCACCCACAGTCAACAAGGATGTCACTAGTTCAACAGTGTACTGTCATGTGGCTTTTGATGAAGATGAAGATAATGAATGCCTGCCTCGTTGGCCGAGTGATCGCAAGTGCGACTGCCGGGCAAGGGGTCTTGGGTTCGATTATCGGGTACGGCAAAGTATTACTGGATTTTTACGGAGTCTGGAATTGTGCCCGGTTTATGGCAATGGGCTCACCCCCTATTACATGGGACTCATAACATAAATAGTGAAAAGTGGGTGTTACATTGTACAGTAGCATAATGTGCACCTCTGCCTACCCCTTCGGGGATAAAAGGCGTGATGTTATGTTTTGTTATGAAGATAATTAATAAAAGGTCTTACCATTCAGTATCGTAGAAAATTCCAGAAGAATACTTTGAGAAGGTGTCGGTGACGTGTACTGACACGGATAGGGGACCGTGGTTGATTAGAGCGACCTGAAAAAACCAATTGTCTTTCAAGACTTACATAAACTCCATATAATTTTCATATTCATTTCATTTAGAAACATAAAGAGCAAAAAATCAAATATTATCACTTTCAGCGCTTCAAATGATATTATAAAGGGCCAAAACTGATACTATGCTAACTACAGATAGTTTAGAGAATCTGGAAAAGTCCCCAAATATTATACTTTACTGGTGTACTCTGCTCTGGAAAGTGCATAGGATTTCTCGGGAATAAGTTTATTATCAAAGTGAAAACCACGATGTTTTATTTGATATGAACACCCGAATGTCAATTTTATTAATAGTAGATCTATGTGTATGCCTCTACGGATCTTTTCTAAGAACAAAAGGAATTCCAGTTTCAGAATACGTTTCTGAACTTCCGTTCACTTTTCAAAAGTATTGCAGTTTTCGTAATATAATGCGATGCATTACTTGTAGGTAGAGTATGCTATGAAAATCGAGAATTTTCTGGAAGCAATTAATTAAGCTCAATGACACCGGAGGACGGTTATTTAACGTCGACGGGCTTCACAAGGAAATTAATTAGAAAAAAGAACATTAGAGGAGAGATAAGTAATCAGGCTAATAGTTCCTCTTACTCCATCTCAAGTAAATAGAAAATGTCCTCTTGGAAAATATGTTTTACAAAATGGAAAACTTTTTAAAAGTGTTATTGTTATAATTGTTAGTAGTTGGCCAGTCTTACCTTCAAAGCTCCAACGCTTAAAGGTGTGACGTCCACGTATCCTCGAATTGGGAAAGTCTGTGTCATGTTCTTGATGTTGCATTCTCCATCCTGTTGGAAAAGAAAAAATAGTTTAAAGTAAGCATTTCAACGAATCGGAAAGTTTAAAAAAAAATTAAATGGTGACAATTTACATTGTGTAAAATTAAGTCTACTTTAAGTTGGTGAATAATCATAAGTTATGATTCCCGTTTTTACGATTGAAATAAAATTATAACAAAGCAACCATTGTCAACCAACTTAGTACAAAAGGCCGGTATTACAAAAAAAATAAATTCACAGAAGTTCCGCTTTATACAGACAACTAAAAGCGATACACCTACGTACACCAAATGTATTTTAATTCCGTGTTCATAAGATGACCATAAAACTTCTGCAGATGTGACTCAGACTGATATCAAAATAGCTCCTAACTTATCAAGGTTTTTTAAGGGGGAAAAATCATCGAATGACTGCTCCCGCCTAGGTGAGGCGGGAGGGAGTGTCAGACTCTTACTGACTTAAAACCACCCCGTTCCTTCTCCTGCACATCGAGCCGGAGCCCCGGTAACCCGTTAGGTTCTCCAGGAGTTAAATCAAGTTACACATAGAGGAAGGAAGACCAAAAACTGAAACACTGGGAACACCAACATAACCTTAAAATGAAAAATAATGTAAAAAATCCTTCTGTATCTATTGCCATATGTACCTTGTTAGTGTATGGACCATATTCTGCTTCAGTCGGCAGACCGTACTCCATCATCCACTCGTAGGCCGCGTTGTCAGTACCGCCGTCACAGCCCGCGGCACCAAATCTGTACATTATGCATACTTGTTAAACATTACGACATAGGAGACAGCTAGGCTCTCGTACGTGGTAGAAAATGTAGGCGTATTTCCAAAAATATCGTGTTGCTACAATTACTTTGCAAAGAAATTTTTTGATTACTGGTTTTGCCCACGTTTTTGTTTCTTTTTTAATGAAATCGATGGCAAGTGAGCAGACGAATCACCTGACGGTAAGCAAACAGCGTCACCCGTGGATTAACATTTTTGTTCTACATCCAATTATCTCTTTTAAGTGAAACTGAGAAACAATATTTATTCAAATTGGTACTAATCGTACTACTCAGATTGCAAGGCAGGGCATTGCATAGAAAGTGATTAATACTGATGAACTTATCAGTAATTAACGAATTGATTGTCAAATACGTACGCCCAGACACAGTCCACAAGAGCTTGGTTAGCGAGTGCCATGAGCTTGCCACCGTTGATACGTGCCAAAGCACCTTCAACTGCAGCTGTTGTTCCGAAAGTCCAGCAGGAACCACAATCTTCTTGGTCTGTGAAAAATAATTAATGTGGGTCGTAAAACTAATCCAGTTTTCAGGTTCACGAATTACTCGAAAGCGAAATTCTTTTTGAAGGAATTCCTTATGATAATAAGGAATGGTACAATAAGCTAAGATCTGATGTCGTCATCAGACTGATAAAGTAATTCAGAAGAAACCTAAATTTTTGGAAAGTTTATATAATTTTCATAAAAACCTATCCGAGATAAATACAAAAAAATGAGTTGACTAAGAAATGGAAAAACATTTGGACCTCAACTCAATATCACTTACTTTTGACGTGAGAAACAAGACCGAGAAGCCTCAAGTCGTATTCTTTGGGTACATCCTCAGAGAGTGCTTCCAGTTTTTTGTCAGTGTATGGGAAGGGTACGTTTCCAGATTTGCCTTCAGGACGCTTCAGCAGACCCATGTACCTGGTCATCTCTTCGGGAGTCTTATCAGCGAACTGGTTGATGGCCAGTTTGTAACCCTTGTTTTGACGGTTGTGTTGGATGACCTGCCTGTAAAAAGTGGTTGATGTTAATAGTAATTTTAGGTTATAAATATAATTACTTCTGCATGGAACTTTGCTGTCATATCCTTATGAAGATGTTGCAAACAAAATTCCATCCTTTAAATATGTAAAACGGAAAATTCAATTAATAACTTATTAAAATCGGTTCAGCAATTTAGGTGTAATAAACATTTGTATTTGTTATGTGGAACTTACCTCATACTCTTTTTGAAGATGTTCTTCCTCAAGGCATGCTCGTCGGCATCGTACTGCCTGTCGTGAGCTCCAATGAACCTACAAATAGAATATTGATTTTAGTTTTATGATTTTGTTCAGGCTTTTGATTCGCAATGGCTAAATTAATACATCTCACAACAATTATTATACTAATGAATTGACTTACGATTTGAAAGCATGGTCAACATGTTCATCGTTTTCAGAGTCAAGGAATAATAGTCTCTTGGTGACACCCTCACCGTCCAACGTGTGTTCTTCAGGGCTAGAACAACCATCTGTAAGAAAAATCAGTTTCAGTCATTCATAGAATAACAAAAGTCGGTGTAAAGTTAAAAGTAAAGGCATTAAGTACGCCATTCAATGTAATTTGTGAAGAAGATAAAATAAATAAATAAATCTATACAGATGAATAAAATTGGAGTGTCTGTTTGTAATATTAAAATGGTTTTTTACTAGATACATATACATAATACATACGATACCATATACCAAAATACATTTAAAAAAAATTGTTTGTTTGTACTGGCTAATCTCTGAAATGGCTAGACCGATTTTGACGGGACTTTTACTAGCAGGTAGCTGATGTACAAATGAGTAACATAGGCCATTATTATTTTGGAAACGAACAAAAAAAGTTATGTCCTAAAACTCATATTCTACGCGGACGAAGTCGTTGGCAACAGCTAGGAAATCGTTACTAATATTATAAATCGGAAAGTGAGTTTGTTTGTTTGTTTGTTTGTTCCGCTTTCACGCCGTAAGTACTAAACCGATTGCTTTAAATTTTTGCAGACGCCAAGTTAGAAGTCCGGATTAAATAATAGGGTACTTTTTATCCCGGAAAAATTTGTTATTACCGAGGGAAAACAAAAGTATTGGTATAGATGGCGCTGTGTGTATTGGTATATGTCACATAGGCTACTTTTTATCCTTTTGTGACGCGAGCGAAGCCGCGGGTAAAAGCTAGTAATAAATAAATAAATAAAGGTCGCATATGTACTCACAGTCTTCAACATCAAAGACACTGCGGAAGGAGAAGTCCTTGCTGTAGTCGTAGAAGTCCCAGATTTCGTGTTTGTCCTTAGATCCCAACCAGGCGTTGAATTCCAAAACCTCGTATCTGCAAATAAAGACATGAAAATATTAATCAAACTCGTAATGCATGGAATACGCGTCATCGAGGAAGTTCCTGTAAAAAAATGAATATCAAAGTATCAGTGGAGCCCTAAATAGTGCTGAATTTAATACCTATACCTATTTTATAGCCTCTTTGTTACATGAGAATCAGAACAGGAGAGACTTGTGAATCGTCGATGTTGCTGGGAACAACTACAAAAGTCTTCATTTTTGATTTTATTGCAAAACAATACGGTTGAAAATGACATTAACAAAATACATAGACTCTCTGTACGACAATAGACAATGATGGTATTATTATTTTCCTAAGTCCTTACCTTACAGGGACCCAAGCTTCATCAGCCTCGTCATAGGTCGCCCACAATGTGCTCCTGACGTCAGTGCTCTCATCTTTATGGTCATACACGAACTTGGTGCATTCTTTGTCGTTCATGATCTCATCAACTGTGTACCGGAAAAATGACAGTGATAAATCTACAACGATTAGTATTTTCGTATTCATTACATACGCATGTTATTTCTCCATAGTTAGACATAATCTTGTAGAGCGAGACTTGTATTGAGTACTCGGTTTTAAATCTTCTCATTTAATTAGACTATACAAGATGGGAACTACTAAGAATATTTGACATTTTAACGCTGAGTTGGTTTTGCTCTCCGATCTGGTAATATGCGAAGTTACCGATTTTCTGAATAGGGTAGTTTCCTAAATATTATTTTAATGTGTCTTGTAGATTAATTTAAAACATCAGATACGTATTTTTTCTTTTCTCACACTTTCGACGACTTATTATTAATTTGAAACATCGTGTGACGTCACTGCGTGCTACTAATATTTTTTCATTATCCATTGATGGACTAATTCGATTTTTTACTTTCATACCCTGGCAACTACCCTATTCTCTATTCATAAAATTAATTTTCTTTATCTCTATCATACTAAGCTCTATCGGGACCTACGTAGGGTATACTAATGGTACCTCAATTGGAACTACCATAACTAATACAGCCAACTCAAGAAGTATATCAGTAATAGGCCATGGTTAAGTAATATTATTGAAACCTTTACCTTCAGGTTCAAAACCATCAACGTCGGGTAGAATAGTTTCAGGTGACATACGGCGGTACCTGCTTCCTCGCAAGGCGTTACATACATTTTCTACATCTTGTTCTACGGATGCTACTGGGTGAATCTACAATAGAAATGTTTTATTGTAAGTGAATTTTTATCTCCGAAGGGGTAGACAGAGGAGAGGTGCACATTACTGCACCTAATGCCACGGTACAATGTAACACTCACTTTTCACTATATATGTTATGGGTCTCATGAAATACGGGATAAGCCTATTGAGCTATATACCGGGCACAATTCCAGACTCTATGCTACTACTGAGATTTTTTGAAAACCCAGTATTACTTTGCCCGACCTGGGAATCGAACCCGAAACCCCTTACCTGGCAGTCGCACCTGTGACCACTCGGCCAAGGAGGCACTCAATTTTATCATGAGTTATTTTTCTATAAGACCTTTGTCTCTTAGATACCCATCTCTCTCAGTAGATGAGAAACTAAATTCATAACTTAATACTAGAAAGCAAGGGTAAAGTTTATCTATTTTAATTTTTAGTAATTTTACCTCATACTTGACTCCATATTTGTAGTCCTTGGCCTTGGTTTTCACAAAAGACTTGACGTAACCGTTGTTGTAGTCGATCCTCGATTGTTTGGAGGTTCTCCTAAGAACAAGTGGAATAAATGAATTAAACGATGTGTTTCAGTCTTTGTCATAAACCTATTTAAAGAAAGACCTTCGTTCAGCGGTGTGGTGAAGTGTTGATAGTGATAAAACGGTATTAACCTCTCGCGCGCTTCTCGTACACACCGGTAAACGCGCGTTCTCGTACACACGGGTAAATATTTTAATAGAGGTAGAAAAGCGAATTAACTATTCTGTTCAATTAAGTAAAGAACGGGTTGCAAACTTGAAAATACACGTCACAGAAAAAATATCCAATCGGTGCGCGTTTCTCGTACACCCGTGTGTACGTCGCGGAGAACCTAACGGGTAACCGGGACTCCGGCTCGACGTGCAGGAGAAGGAACGGGGTGGTTTTTAGTCAGTAAGAGTCTGACACTCCCTCCTGCCTCACCCAGGTGGGAGCAGTCATTCGATGATTTTCCCCCTTAAAAAAAAAAAAAACACCCGTGTGTACAATAAAATTGCGCGATGGGCACTCAACTCTCTCGTACACCCGTGTGTACTAAACACGCGAGAGGTTAAGTATACGTAAGAGAATGGCAAAAATCTTTTTGTCTCACCAGATGGAGTAGTCTTCAATGATATTGTCTGTCAGTGACATCCTCTTCGCCTGCAGGGTGTACTGAGACGGCCATTGCAGTTCGTTGTCTTCGTCACCTTTCACAGCTTTAGCCTTTTTCACTAAAATTAAACGAATAACATTATTATCAAATTGCTTTTTATTATTGCTATTAGTGAATGGTATTTTATTTTAATAAAAGGTCAGTAGTTATTCAATGTTGTTGTTGTTGTTGTTGTTCAATAAACAACATCGTTTCGATCATCACGTTTTCTTCGTCACGTAGTCAATGATAAACAAATAGGGTAGTTACCTAAATTTTATTTTAATGTCCGTCTGTTAGATTAATTTAAACTATTAGACACGTATTTTTTTTCTCTGACGACTTCCGATTTTCGACGATAAATTAATTTGAAATATCGTGTGACGCCACAGCGTGCTATGTTTTGCAGTACGTTGTAACGCAACGTCCTTCCACTCCTAAACTTAACGCCATTTTATCTAAGAATTGTTTCCTTATACGACAAAATAAAAAAAATCGTGTCTAAATTTTTTTATTACCTAACTGACGGACTAAATAGATATTTAATGTTAATACCCTGGTAACTACCCTATTTGGGTTCAATTTCCTATTCGAACAGAGTTCTGTTTCTGGTATTGCTGCCCTTTTTTAATCTTCAGTAATTTTGTATTTGCAACCTCTCATTTTTGTAGGTTGACCGTTTATAACAATGAAACTAGCAACAAAGCTTTAGAAATGATTAGAGAAACATATTTCAGTTCAATTGACTGCACGGTTGGTGCGGTGGCTGGACAACCGGTTGCCGTGCAACGTGTCGCGGGTTCGATTCCCGCACGGAACAACACTTTATGTGATCCACAAATTGTTGTTTCGGGTCTGGGTGTCATTGTGTATGTGAAATTGTATGTTTGTAAACGAATCCCACAACACAGGAGAAAATCCTAATGTGGGGCAACGTTTAAAAAAAAAGTTCTTCCTATATTTTGCCCAAAAAACCCCAACCCTCAACTTACCACTCAGCGCCTGTGTTACCACCACTAGCCCAAGCAACAACCACACGTACTTCGCCATCATGACGGCCTGGTCCCCTGACTCCCTATGCACTAAAATATATATCTAGTATTTCAGCTATTTATTTATTCAGATTACACTAATTAATGACACTGATTAGTACTAACATTGATAAGGCAGGCTAAAGAATAATGTGGATATTCATATTTTATAATATAGGTACAGTACTGGTTATTTTAACTATGTGAATGTACATTTTCACGTAGAAAACATTCTTTTTTATAGGTATGATTGCATGTATGGAACGGAAAACACACGATTAACATTTGAGATATTTTATAATTATCAACTCAAATGGCTGTTGCCCACGACTTCTTCCGAATAGAATATGAATTTTAAAACATAACGTTTTTTGTTTCAATTTTCCAAAATAAAAGTAGCTGTTACTCCTTCAGATACTTGCCAATAAAAGTCTCGCAAAATCGGTTCAGCCATTTCAGAGATTAGCCAGTACAAACAGACAGACAGATGTAGACAATGTAGTATAAATCATATAGATTTTCAATCATCGAATGTCAAATATGAAAAACAAAGTTAAAATGCTCTAAATGTCAATCGAAAGTCTATAGGTACCTAACATGGCCACTTTTGCACTAACTGGGTCGTATCCACATAAAGCCAACATTTGAAAAAAAACTAAATAATGAATTTGATAAATCTCATTTCTATTAATGGCCTAATTATTTGGTTTCCATGTCGATTATTATTGTATCGGATTATCTAAACTTTAAATAATCAAGGCCAATTATTTTCAAATATGGACACATACCTACACTTCATATTTTAGGGGTAGACAGAGGTGTACATTATACCACTGTATAATGTAACTGTCACTTTTCACTATTTATGTTAGTAGTCCCATATAATAGGAGGTGAGCTTATTGCCATATACCAGGCACAATTCCAGACTCCGTGCTACCACTGAGAATTTTTTAAAAACCCATATTACTTTGCTCGACCCGGGAATCGAGCCCGAGACCCCTTGCCCGGCAGTCGCACTTGCGACCACTCGGCCAACGAGGCAGTCACTCATATTGATCTAGGTACTTCATTTTGGTAGTTGTCGAATGCTAACAGCATTGATTCCCAGGAACAATATCGGATTGATTTCAGCATTTTTACAAGTAGAGAAGATATTTAAAGAAAATATGGAACTTATACTAAAGAAAATTAATCTTAGAAGTTTTCAAAAGTAACACAGAAGTACATATTATCAGAAATTCCGTTTATGACTTATTAGTTGAGCTCCAACATACAGACACAAAGCCACTTAAAAACCAACGTATCTCAGTTTTTAAAACTTGTCCAACAATATCGTTACATCATAAGCGGTTTTTGCAACCAAATCGCTCATCCCGTAACCCAATCACGTCAGATTGTTTCTCACGCTGGTCTGAACCACTTCTGGTACTTCTAGTTACCGTCTTGGAGAAACTGGATGGTGGACCAATTATTTATTTGTACGTGTAACGGCCGGACCTTTTCGCGCGAAAGAGAATGCAGTAAGAATCTGGACGGTATCGGCACATAATGCGTCAGTATAATGTACAAAAAGTGATATCTAGCCCTTTCATCCCTGAAGTTTTAGATAGAAGTGCACTTATCTTGAATCTATTACATATAATAAATTCGTAATTATGTCAAAACTATACATTGGCATTGAATATTTTTTAAAAGAGTATTTAAGTATGACGTGATCTACAATAGATATCAAAGCCAAGAATATTTAAAATTTTTGTCTGTATGTCCGGATTAAACTCAAAAAGTACTGCATAGATCTACTTCAAATTTTGATTATTACTAACATGTCTGGTCAACATGTAAGGTTACATATTATCACGCTATCACATACGGAAGAGGAGCTGTAAAGTACTATCCAAAGTCACTTTTCCACGAGAACGAAGTCGCAGGCACAGCTAGTAGTAGTATAAGTAAACTTTTACGTGCACTATTTACATAGGTAAATATCCACCCACTTTTCACCGATTATGTTATGAGTCCCATATGTAATAGGGGTTGAATCTATTCCCATACACTGAGCACGATTAAAAACTTTATGATAATGCTAAGAAGATTTTAGGAAAATTAACTCCAGCGCTACTTTTCCCTGACTAAGGATTTGAACTCGAGACTCTTGCTTGCCAATTGTACTTGTATCGAGACAGTTTAAAAATAATAGCGTTACCGGCCTTTTGGGAATTGGGAATTTGAGGAATGTAGAGGATTCGGGGATTCGGGAGACTAGGGAGGGGGGTAATTGGGCCTCAGGTAACCTCACTCACACGACGAAACACAACGCAAGCGTTGTTTCACGTTGGTTTTCTGTAAGGCCGTGGTATCACTCCGGTCGAACCAGCCCATTCGTGGCGAAGCATGCCTCTCCCACAAATAAAATTTAATCTTTACCAAATAAATAGACAATTAATTTGACTATAATATGAATAGTAGTTACCAATAACTAATGCAAGTTATTGGTCCCTTATCTGATCCGATGCAGAGTCACTGAGAAAGTTGAAGTAGCAACTTGAACTGTTGGTACCAATCTATGGTACTTTCACCGCGTGATAGCGGTCAGTTGAGTTCGCACTCTGCTAGCTATAAATTATTACCTACTAACTTTTACCCGCGGCTTCGCTCGCGTCACAAAAGGATAAAAGTAGCCTATGTGACATATACCAATACACACAGCGCCATCTATACCAATAATTTCTTTTTACCTCGAGAATATCAAATTTTTCCGGGATAAAAAGTACCCTATTATTTAATCCAGACTTCTAACTTTACGTCTACAAAAATTCAAAACAATCAGTTTAGAAGATACGGCGTGAAAGCGGAACAAACAAACTCACTTTCCCATTTATAATAGTACACGTAAGTGCGAAAACACTTTTCTTCGCCATTATACATGTTGAGAAATCTAGTACTTTTGTACTTTTGTGGGAAACATTACACTTAGTTTATCAAATTGTGTGTCTATATGGCAACTAGGTGGATGGACTGTATGTGACTAGTTGCTATACAGCATGTCGCTAGTTCGATTGGAATTATTATTATGTTTATGAATTATTATTATGTTTATGACTGCCTCGTTGGCCGAGTGGTCGCAAGTGCGACTGCCAGGCAAGGGGTCTCAGGTTCGATTCCCGGGTCGGGCAAAGTATTACTGGGTGTTTCAAAAATCTCAGTAGTAGCACGGATTCTGGTAATGTGCCCGGCATATGGCAATAGGCTTACCCCCTATAACATGGGACTTATAACATAAATAGTGAAAAGTGGGTGTTACATTGTACAGTGGCATTAAGTGCCGAAATGTGCACCTCTGCCTACCCCTTCGAGGATAAAAAGGCGTGATGTTATGTATGTGAATTGTGTGTGATTTATAGGTTATTTTTTCCGACTTTGGATTTGATGACTATCCCATCAACAAACAAGCTCTAACACAATAACACAGTAGCAGCGCGACAGTCGCCGCGTCGCGGAATGCTGCTCATGAATATAAAGACTTGAAACTAGTCGAGTTCCTCGTGAAACCGTTATGTTAATAAGTCGAAAACATAATAATTAATGCTCTAAGAAGTCCGAAAGAAAAGAAAATCTGCACTCTACACAAAATATCGCTGAAGATTTCTAAAATAAAATACTAAGTAATACTTGCAATCTTGAATACAATGGGGTGTGTAACATAACTATAATATAATTAGAGTATGACCAATGACCAGTATCTTATCTTACCCTTTTTTGAGAGTAAAATGTTATGTTATATTTTATTAAAGCTTGTCACGCCATTTTGTTTCAAAATATTTTTTCTGGCGTTAAAAGTAGTTCATTTCGCTAAAAGCATTGAACATCACAGCTATAAACTATATTCATTTTTATTTATTTACCATGCTGCGTATTATAAATATTCAATTGACCTACAACACCTTTAACAAAATAAAAGAAATTGTTGAATAAAAACTCTTTAGCTTTATCATCGTTTCTTTTTACATGTTTATGCTAGAAATGCTAAGCAGATACTTGGCTATGGTAAATCGTCCGACCGACCTGGAAAACAAACATGACACCCCAGACTTAGCAGTCAACCTTACGATGGTACAATACATACACACATAACATTACGCCTCAGGGGTGGGCAGAGGTGCACATTACGGCACTTCATGCCACTACAACGTAACACCCACTTTTCACTGTTTATGTTATGAGTCCCATGTAAAAAAGAGTGAGCCTATTGCCATATACCGGGCACTATTCCAGACTCCGTGCTACTGCTGAGAATTTTATTTTAAAATACCCAGTAATATGATATTATGATGATACAATACTACACTCAATACAGCAGGTAACTCATAAAATAACTCAAAGAGCCATCAAACCACCACGGATAGGGCCCAATAGGGCTGATGTCGATTCGGAGTCGCCGAGAACCTAACGGGTAACCGGGGCTCCGGCTCGAAGTGCAGGAGAAGGAACAGGGTGGTTTTTAGTCAGAGTCTGACACTCCCCTCCGCCTCACCCAGGCGGGAGAAATCATTTGATGGTTTTCCGCCCTTAAAAAAACCCATAAAACAATAAAATGAAAACTCATTATATCATTTCATTTACAAATCCACTAATTAAAAACTACATACTTTTGAGTTCTAAATTTCAATATTGACTTAATAAGAACACATAATAATAAAATTCATAGCCAAACTAACTCAAATTCAAAATAGTGATATAATATTACCATTTCAATAAAAGCAATCGAAATGCACGGTCTGGCCACTGACCACATCCGGAACATTAATAACATAAAAAATAATGAACATGTCAAATGTTAATTGATATTAAGGCCCCGAGGTACTTCGATGACTTTCTTAGATTTTTATCTATAACGATACTATTGGTGCAGCCATCTTTACATCTTGAAGACTCGGTTTCGGTAACTGGGTCAGTGGATTCGTTTGAATCTCTGTAAATTCGCAGAAATAATACGACGGTCATTGTTTTTTTTTAATATACAA